CTTGTGTTATGGGTACTAGATAACTGATACAAATACAAAGATAATTTTTTTGTTCGTCCATACATATTATACATAGCAAACACTCAGACCGATACAAAAAATCATACTTATGAATACAAATGTTTATGCCGTGCGAGGAATCGAACCCGCGATCGGTAAAACGGTGTGCTAAACCGCTAGCCAACAGAGAATTGCTTGCTTGGAAACTTGCAGTACTATATTCAAAAGACAAACGGAAGTACCAGGGGCGGATCGTGAATTTGTGGGGCCCCGGGCTAAATCTACTTAGAGGCCTACCTAATTATATTACTCAACTAAAATAATACACCGACCAAAAACAAACGACCAGAAATTCCTCGTTCCTTTCAATAGATGCACTTGCATGTGTTGATTGATCTCAGGGTTGCCAACCTTATGATAGGTTTTTTAACATTCTAGATATTTTTTTATATTTTAAATATCATTTCAGTGGAGACTGGGGGCCCTTTATATCCTCGGAGCCCTGGGTTGCAGCCCAAAAAGCCCTTAGGTAGATCCGCTCCTGAGAAATACAGTGAATGTGACAGTTGAATAAAAAAGGTGAAAAAGATATGGCGACGATAAACCTGCGAAATTGAGTCCAAGATTTGTTTTTATAAACTTAACCTTGGTTTTGTGTTGAGGCTAGGGTTGCCAACCATACTTTACATATAATATATCCTACTTTATTTTTGGTAATTATACTTTACACTTTTACATAAAGTATACACTTTATTTTCCACTTTTACTGTGATGCGTAAAATAAAACACTCATTATGGGTACTTAACGATTTATAATTACTGAACGAAATGTTAGATGTCAATTGTGACTTGTGATATTTGTCACAGCTCTTGTGTTAAACGCACACAAAAATACGTGTTTAATGCAATAAAAAAAAAATTAATATACTTTATTTTTTCCTATCCCAACCAAACAAAAAGTTTATTAATTTTTTATGTCAAAAAAAGTTGGCAACCCTAGTTGAGGCAGTGAATCACTGGAGCATGAAGTTTATTTTTATTTCATTATTATTATGACGTTACAAATATTATAACATAAGGAACATCCTGTAGATACATATAGAATACTAAGTAAATAATCCGTCATACTCGTGAACGGGTGCTGCTTGTGGGAACAGGTCTGTTCAGGTTACGAACACTGATTAGACTATTTGTTTTGGCAATAGCATATGCTGGTGGTCACTCTATTCTCTCAAATTTGAATCTATAATGAGTCTGTATTTTTTTAACATGTACAAGCAAGCGATGTATGAACAAGAAACTTGCGTGTTGCTTTCAATTATTGTAAATTTACATTACTAAGATTGAGTTGTTCATGCACTGGATTTCCATTTAATGTTAGACATAGACACCTATATAAATATACATTGTAAATAAACTGGTTTTAAAAAGAAATAAGTAATTCAATTGAGTTTCTTGCCAGTTCTTCTCAATTGGATCTATATACTGAACTGGACGGTAGGGAAAAAAATAAAAATTATAATGTAAAAAATTTGACAGTCATAAGCGGCTAAAATGTCATACATGAATAAATGATTTTTGAATTTGAATTTGAATGTGTGAATACAAACTACCAACACTAATTAATTAGATACAAATGAAATCACAAGTAGATTAGATACAAATTAAGTCAATGTTATCTTTCAGATCAATTCTGAATATTACACTTATTCATTATCAAATAGGGGAGCAGAGTCAACCGCTATCCGTCATACTCGTGAACGAATGCTGCTTGTAAGAACTGGTCTGCTCTTATCACTACGACTGATTTAATCTTATTGTGTATTTATATTTGACCCTAATAAATTAGTGCTGGTTGGTAGTTTGTATTCACACGTTACGACTTGTAAATGTGAACTTATAAGGATTATTTAAAAGAGCAACACACAAGTTTCTTGCTAGTTCTTCTTGTGATGAGACAGCTTTCCGAATGAACGGTAGATATTTTTTTTTATGTCTATTCAAAAGTGCTTAAATTGAGTTTATTTGAATAAATAATTTTCTATTCTATTCTATTCTATTGATTGAAAGAATGGTACTATTCCTAATATTCAAAGTGGAACAGATTGAGTTGGATAAAAAAAATTGCAGAAGTAAGATCGAAGTGGACTTTTGACATTTCATTTGTAATGGTTTATTTAACGTCTATACCAACTTTCAGCTCTATGCGAATTTTGTCTAACTTAAATGTCTATTTTGACTGGACTATAATAATTCTTACAATTTCAATTTAAAAGATAATAATAATAATAATAGAAATCATTCCAATCGTTATGTCGGTGAACGGTCTTATCCCAACCAGTCTGGAGCAACATCTCAGACGGTTGGGATTCCGAGGCGGTAATGGTTTATTTGAATAAATAATTTTCTATTCTATTTCATTTAAATTAACCCTGATGAAACCGCGAAGTTTCCAACATTACACGACTTTTTTCGACCAGTCGCGTAAAACCCATATTTGTGCAAACTAGAAAAATAAAGCTACGAAACGAAAGCAGACACCTGTTCGAGTTCGGGCTGCGAATTTCACCTGTGTATGTATATATGTGTACGTGGAACCAGTTCCTCTCATAAGGGAAACATTCGGTCGAGTTTTCATCAACTTTCTACGGTACTATGTGCTCACCAATGATCAATTTAAATTGAAAACATATTAATTAGCGGGTTCAGTAGTCTAGCCGTTTAGCACACCGTCTTACGTCCGATGGTTGCAGGTTCGAATCCTCGCACAACACAAATATTTGTATTTATGAGTATGATTGTTTGTATCGGTCTGGGTGTTTTCTATGCATAATATGTGTATATTATTATACCAAAAAAATATCTATGTTGACGGCCTCTGTTGTCTAGCGGTTTTGCATACCGTTTACTTCCGATGGTCGCAGGTTCGATTCCTCGCACGGTGCAAACATTTGTATTCATGAGTAGAATAGAATAGAACAGAAAATCATTTATTCAAATAAACTTAATTTAAGCACTTTTGAATAGTCAAGTATGTATGAGTATGATTGCTTGTATTGGTCTGGGTGTTTTCTATGTATATAATATGTATGTATTTTCGAAAAAATATCTATGTATATGTATCAGTTATCTAGTACCCATAACACAAACTTTAGCTAGCTTAACTTAGGTCTAGATGGCGCTGTGTGAATTGTCCTGAGATTATTATTATCTTATATATAAAATTCTCGTGTCACAGTTTTCGTTCCCATACTCCTCCGAAACGGCTTGACCGATTCTCATGAAATTTTGTGAGCGTATTGAGTAGGTCTGAGAATATTATGTAAAGAATGTTTATCTTATCATTATTCACTAATGCTCTATCAGCGTGAACCGTTAGCGCAATGGTGGACCCGCACCATTGTCATCCATAGAAAAAACTGTCAGTTTGCCGTTCCATATACTGTAATTTATTGTTTTTCTCTAAATATTATTTATGTGTCGAGTGTCTTAGATCTTTATAAATATACTATATATACTATACATCTATACATATAAATAAAATTGTAGCGTCTGTTTGTAATATTGAAATAACCGTTTTTTACAACATGCATATGAATATAAATACGGTACATACACCAAAATGTAATTTTTTACAATTTTGTCTGTTTGTTCCTGCTAATCTCTGAAATGGCTGAACCAATTTTGATGGGACTTTTATTGGCAGGTAGCTGATGTAATAAGGAGTAACTTAGGCTCCTTTATTTTAGAAAAAATCTTTTTTTAAATTCACAGGAACAGATAGTAGGATTATTTTATGAAATTAAAGAGAACATTTGAGTAAGTTCATGTGACATCACGCAATCCACTGCAACAGGTTGCGGTTTCTTTTCCGCAGTTTTCATTGTGAATTGCTATCCATTGTAACGCGCCATTTTCTGTCCAATTAGCCACGCTCACCTCCGATTCCTATCTTCAGCTTTTCCGCTTGTTATCTATGTTCAAATGGAGTTTGCAACGATCTTCAAGCGCATCCAATCCTAACAAATATTATTTAGTACTGGCTAACAGCAAGCGATCCTGTTTTGGTGAAATCAATTGAGTTTCTTGCCAGTTCTTCTCAATCTATATACTGAACTGGACGGTAAGGAAAAAACTATAATGTAAAAAAAATCATAAGCAGCTAAAATGTCCTACATGAATAAATGATTTTTGAATTTAAATTTGAATTGAATTTACACTCTGGAACCTAAGTGGTTTCAGAGGAGCTTCCTCCCGCGTACACTTAGTTTGCGGAATGAACTACCTGCTAAGATTTTCTTTAGAGAAGGTACTTCTTTTTAAGAAGGGTATATTAAGATTTCTTAAAAGAGCAACACACAAGTTTCTTGCTCATTCTTCTTGTGATGAATCTGCATACTGAATGAGTGGTAGAATAAAAAATAAAAATATGACTATTCAAAAGTGCTTGTAATGAGTTTATTTGAATAAAGATTATTTCTATTTCTATTTCTTAAGAGAATGGGAATGGGAACCTTTAGCCCTTTTAAATTATTTAAACATTTTTTTAATTATTTTGGTTGGGTAATCCATTTATTTAGGAAGGCTATAAGCAACATAACACAATGCTATAACCAATAGGTCTGGAGAGTTATAGAAAAAGTTGCAGAAAGGTATAGGTAATAAATGGTTACCGTAGCCTATGGACGCCTGTAAAACCAGGGGTGTGCATTGCATCGGCAATGAGAAACTTTAATAATCTTAAAAATCTCCATGTTGTAATCTCGAAAACCGCGACAGGAAGTTCATTTCACAATCCGAAATTCTCCAAGACCAATTGATAGGGTCTCCCTTACTCTAAACTGCCTCTTCCCATAGAGAAGTACACATACATATATAAGGACGGACAGACAGCGATAGCGACTTTGTTTTATACTATGTAATGACTATTCTATTTACATTACATTCATAGGTATTTCCTTTTAGAAATGTAATAAAACCAACACAAAATAAACACTTACTTGAGAAAGAAATTGTATATAAATCCCAAGTAGTACGCACAATCACAACACAGTGTATCCACAACACAGCACTTTAGACTTTATGTCCGCGAGGTAGAGTCCACAATTCGACGAGCGTCGCGAGTTACGTGCAACGAGTCCGCAGTTCGAACTGACAATGAATCGGTTGCTAAGCTCAGCCTCGGTAGACGCCGTGAAAGCTTGTGGATGGTGGTATGCATAAGGTAATAATAATATTTATTAAAACTTTAATGCACAAAAACAATATGTAAAGATACATATGGCGAACATAAGACCTAAAGGCGGACCTTTGACCTCGGTGGTCTAGCGGTTTGGCACACCACCTTACTTACGATGGTCGCGGGTTCGATTCCTCGCAAGGCACAAACATTTGTATTCTTCTCATTTCTCATTATGTGTATAATTGTTTGTATCGATCTGGATGTTTTCTATGTATAATATACAGACTGTCCTCAGAACTCAAAGTAAGCCGAAACGGGGCGACAGGAGTGATTGTAACCATCAGGAGAAAAATCGGAAAAGAAATCTATCCCATGCAGTTTGAAAGTGATACGCTTTTAACTAAAACCTAGAACTTTGGTTAAACTGTAACCATTTTTCGGTTATTGTGGCCAATTTTTATTATTTTTGTTAATTTAAATTTTGAAACCGCAACTCTAAATAACATTTCTAGAACCACAGTCAAAAATAATGTCACAATTGCCCCAAGTTTTCTAGAATTAGAACTATTTGTTAAACTATGAATTTAAAATTTTCAAAATATGTCTTTGAAAGTCCCTCCTTTAAAAGAAATGCACTAAAGAGTCTTGGCAAGTGCCATGAAAAGTTTGCGCATTTAATCTGAATTGTAAAATGGTACAATACTTGTTAGTTTCATAATAAAAAAACCGAGTAAAAAAATAAAAACCTCAAGTAACCCGATTTCTGCCAACCCATTTTACTCAGTTCCAATGTTTTTTGTTTTTTATGCGCACAAGCTCTTTGTAGGTTCTTAATTTTACGACAAAATTATGAGAGAGATGGATAGTGGACATGTTTGCCATGAGTGAGTGAGACAGATAGTGACGCCACTTTTGCCAAAGTCAACAAAAGTAAGTAAAATTAATAAAATAATGAAAAATCTTGACCTAGTTTAGTTTATTGGAATAAGTAGAAATTAATAAAAAAAATAATAATTTGAAAATCTTCTTACAAAAATAAATTTAAATATACATTATTTTAAAATAGATGCGTATTGCATAAACTGGTCCACGAGCAGGTGTGGCGGGAGCTTCCGAGAGTTTTCTCATACCGTGATTTATTCGACAGGTGCCGTCACGACGCGGCTGTTACTATGGTGGGTAGTGGATTCGATTCTAGATTACAATTTGCGTTACTTACAAATATTGAATATTACACTTTTATTTGATTATTTTCATTTAAGCATTAATATCAGTTATCTAGTGTTTTTGTAAATACATATTGTACATAGATAAGCAAGGTAGAGCTTGTGTTATGGGTACTAGACAACTGATACAAATTCTTAAATTTGTATAGTATAGATTTACAATACAAATCTAAGAATATCCTTACTAAAATTATAAATGTGAAAGTAACTTAGTCTGTCTGTCTGTCTGTCTCGCTTTCACGCCAAAACTATAGAACCGATTCAAATGAAATTTGGTACACATATAGTCTAAATCTGACAAAGGACATAGGCTACTTTTTAATCAGAAAAAAGGGTTGTAAGGGGTTGAAAGGGTAGATGAAAGATTACATGAAAGATGTATCGACGATTTACGCTGAGGAAGTCGTGGGTACGGTGAGTAGAAAACAGCCAGACCGATACAAACAATCATACTCAGGAATAAAAATGTTTGTACTGTGCGAGGATCGAACCCGAGACAAACGGAAGTAAAGCGTTGTGCTAAACCGCTAGACCAACGAGACAGTCATATATTCCTATCCTCAATTACATTACACTGTTATATGCTACTCGCTCTGTACTATATACATGTATTATACATATAAACCTTCCTCTTGAATCACTCTATCTATTAAAAAAACTCTTCAAAATCCGTTGCGTAATTTTAAAGCTTTAAGCATATATAGAGACGGACAGACAGCGACAGCGACTTTGTTATATACTATGTCACTAAGTACTTGCCCCGGCTTCGCACCCGTGTATATGTATTATATATATAAAACTTCCTCTTGAATCACTTTTGTTTTATACTATGTAATCATGACTTGATTACACAAAAAAAAACATAAATTTTCGTACCTCCTCCTTTCTAAGTCGGTTGGTATCTAACCGTAATACAATTTACGTAATAATAAAAGTGTTAGAATCAATGAGTAGGTAAATATTGTAAACGAGGTTAATCTATATTATATATAGCATGAAAGTCTCTACAACCGGGCCAATAGGCAGGTACCCACAACCGCCAAACTTGAAAAACAAGTAACTACTTGTAGATGTGGTTTTCGTCGTCACACCATTCATGTTTTTGGGTAAATATATAAATCGCAATGTGTTTTTTTCTATTTGATTTTAGATCATTATGTATTTATACATATATAGTACTTATTTGTATATTTATATGTTTATTGTTTTTTATAGCAATTTATTTTATTTAACATTTTCCCATGGACTCCTAAATAGATATGTAATATTTAGATATAACAATAGAAATAGAAATAGAAATAATCTTTATTCAAATAAACTCATTACAAGCACTTTTGAATAGTCATATTTTGATTCTACCACTCATTCGGAATGCAGATTCATCACAAGAAGAATGAGCAAGAAACTTGTGTGTTGCTCTTTTTAATAGATGTTTTTTTTATATAAATAATTACAGTGTAACAAGTAAGAGGCATGCGATAATCAACATAGAAATCGCTACGCACTCATTATTAGTGTAATCAGATAATATTGTCAGTGCTATGTATTTAAATTTTTTCTACAAAAACATTATTATCGTTAACGAATTCTTCAATTTTATAGTAAGCTTTTTTGCAAAGGAAGTGTTTTATATGACATTTAAATCTTTTTTCTGGCAGATTTATAACAGACTCTGGTATTTTATTGTAAAACCTTACGCAATTGCCATAAAACGAATTACTAACTTTAGCCAAACGACATTTAGGTAAAATCAGTTTGTTATTGTTACGTAAGCTTTTATTAGTGCAATCACTAACTCTTTTGAATAATAACAAATAAATAAACAATATTTATAAATGGCTATACATTATTAACGTTGTCAATCTAAATATATATAACTCAAAGGTGACATAGTGATCTTTCAACGCACAGCACAAACCACTGGACGGATCGGGCTGAAATTTGGCATGCAGGTAGATGTTATGACGTAGGCATCCAATAAGAAAGGATTTTGATAAATTCCACCCCTAATGGGATGAAATTTGTGTAAATCTTCTTAGTTTTTCAACTGATTGAACTACTATGATGAAGATGTTCGCTTAAATAGGATTTTGATAAATTCAATCCCCATGGGGATAAAATAAGTGATGATGCAGGATGTAAATGTATTAGTTTGAACCTATCAGTACCTAATGGAACGAATAAATTAAGAGGAACTAAATAATTTTTAGTTCTTTAGGCTACTTTATTTTAGAACAGCTAGTCATATATAAACTTTAAAGTTCTAGTGCATAAGGTATATTTTCATAACAAAATGTTTTCGAGGGTCTGCTCCTGAACCCACCACGGGAACCGCAGCTGACTTTGACTAGGCTTTATTCATACAAATATCTTAGACATCATAGAAGTTTTAGAAGAAAGAAATTAGAGTCTGGCTTGCGGACTATAGCTTGGATCTTTGTATGTATGTATGTAATATGTATTAGTGTGAAAGTTTATCTATTTATACTTATAAAATGTATGTTTATCTATATGTGTATTATAAATATGTTGTCTACTGTGCGCCTGCTACCTTCTCTATGTAAATAGTATCTGTCAATACCAGGTTGTCTGTAAGAAATTGCTGTTAGCGATAAGACCGCCTTTTTATATTTTATTGTTCTTTGTTTGTCTGTGCGCCATAAAGAATTATTATTATTTTTTTTTTTTTTTTTTCCAAATATTCTCATCTCCCCTCTTAAGGAGAGGAGATGGCAACATACCCCCGGCAGAAGCACAGTCGGCCGGGGTTCAGGGCCCCAGGGAGAGAAACCGGCGTACAATGCGGGCAGAATCTAAGAGCACCGCTTTCTGCATCTTTCCCGGGAGTGAACCGCCTCGGAATCCCAACCGTCTGAGATGTTGCTCCAGACTGGTTGGGATAAGACCGTTCACCGATATAACGATTGGAATGATTTCTATTATTATTATTATTATCTTTTAGTTTCGAAATTGTAAGAATTATTATAGTCCAGTCAAAATAGACATTTAAGTTAGACAAAATTCGCATAGAGCTGAAAGTTGGTATAGACATTAAATAAACTATTACAAATGAAATGTCGAAAGTCCACTTCGATCTTACTTCTGTAATTTTTTTTATCCAACTCAATCTGTTCCACTTTGAATATTAGGAATAGTACCATTCTTTCAATCAATAGAATAGAATAGAAAATCATTTATTCAAATAAACTTAATTTAAGCACTTTTGAATAGTCATAACAAGTTGTTTTTTATCTACCACTCGTTCGGAAAGCTGTCTCATCACAAGAAGAACGAGCAAGAAACTTGTGTGTTGCTCTTTTAAACAATCCTTGTAAGTTACATTTACTATCATATAATCAATAGGATACAATCTGTTTACTGATCAAACTTTCTTTATCGCAATACATCGTGGAGTATGCGTACAAGGGATACCACGTTAAAAAATAAATGCGCCAAGTACATTACCTCGTAGGTGATGTGGAAATGTGTACGTAACTGCATATTATGAAGAATATGAATTTTTCAACTTTTAAAACCGCGATATCTCACGAATGGTGATTCGCACGAAAAAAAGTAGTAGGACAAGTTTTGTAGAGGATTGTATGATCTACAACTTTTGTCTAAGCTATTTTGACGATAATATTTTCGGTTTCAGAGAAAAATGGAAAAAACCTGTATTTTTGATTTTTGACCTTGGATAAAAAAAATAGCAGAAGTAGGATCGAAGAA